TTAATGGAGGTTAATGCTAATAAGCCATCATTATATAAGTCTAATAATCAATATTAATCCAAACAAATGGTAAATAAAATTTCCTACATTTTCTTTACTTAAATTTGCAAACCTGATCGATATTACAATTTTCCTTCTTTTACCTCACCTTCCCTTCCCATAATTCCCCTTCAATTCTCTTACGTACCTTCCCTTTCATTAGCGAACTACTAAATGCAACGCAAGAGACTTTCTAATTTGATATTAAATTGTATCTAGAGTCACATTCATGATTCGTATTCGGATATTTAATTAGGTGCCCACCTGTAAACGATACAACTTTTGTTGTTTTTGTTAATGCAGAAAGCTGAAGCTCAATAGATGCATAAAATCATGCAGAGACAAAAAGAATGTGAGTGTCGGTGGCTGTTTTCCAACGTCACGTACTCCTCCGATGCTACGTCATTATCTGTTTTCGAAAATTAGTCCAAGTAAAAAAATATATAGGGAAGGCCTTTTTCTATACGAGTCGTCGTACCAACTCTCTCGTTTGTGGAGACAGGTTCATGCGTTTGTTTGACGATAGCTTTTGACTGCATCCAGAGAATTTGGTATAATTAGTGTACAGGACAGTAATGAGGTTGATTTGCCATCATGAGCAATTTGAATCAGCCTCATACGACAACTGTAGAGTAGTCTTCGACGATTTGCATTTCAAAAGATGCACTTATTAATTTTAATAAACTTCTAATCCTTAACCTCATCAAAACTTTCAAGTTCGATCGGTGTAGTGAAAAAAAAGCTTAACGCTTCTTTATGTTCCGATAATTATCTATTTCAATCCAAGCCAGCAAAGAACACCAAAATATTGATACGCTATTTTGATTCAAGTCGTGGATTTTCTTCCAAAATTTTCGTCACTAGGCATTTTAAATTTGTTTCATTCCGGTTGTTCGGATATCCTAAATTCATATTCTTACGCCTCAAACAAACTGAAATGTTAGCCCCTCGATAGTGTTTACCATTAGTTTTTTTTTTGTGTTACATACCTGCCAAATCATCGATATGTATCAATTATCTTCAAATCTTGATATTCCTAACTCTCAAACTTTCGATTTTTTAACCCTGAAAAAATGATGCTAAGTATTAAATTGTTGTAGGGTGAGTTAAAATTCTAATCAAAGTCCATGCTATAGATATCTTTAAGTTAAAGATTTGAGGTAGAAGATTAATTCTATGTTTAAGATTTGCAACCCATTTTAATTAATATTTAAAATTTGGAGGGTAACTTTATGAATGTTGATGATTTTGAGGTACCTAGCTAAAATCACCCTGGTTTAATTTGTTTTATGGAGACAGACACCTTGATATGAATACGTATAGATTTCTGCAAGTAAACCTCGTTGTTCATATCCGCCAAAATCAAATACAAATATAGTTTAAATATTATAAATATGCATTAGGTGTAAAATGGATATAAGAAAAATTGATAAGATTGAAAATATATGGCTAATGTGATAGTGAAATAACTAAATATATTAGTTTCTTAAATGAGAGTCCATCAACATGTTTGACATCTGAAAAGTTACGATTAGATGCTAATTTACTAAAAATTAGGATTTTTTTAGTGTATACCCTCCAAATTACAGTTATTTTGAAATTACCCCTCGAATCATCATAATTGTATATTTATTTTCCAAATTTACCTTCTAAACTAATGTTGTGTTAAAATACCTTCATATCTACTTTTAATTGTTTTATGAAGACATAAAATCAATCAAAGACCTTTTGCTCTTCTTTCGGGGTTTGACAAGAGAACTTTCCCATGGTATTGAACCCTCGAGTGTTCTAAGGGGTACCGCCAACACATGGTATTGGACCATGTGTTTCAACTCTTTTTCTCCTTTGAACTTCATGACATAACCCCAGCTCAAACTCCATGAGATCATCTACATCCTAGATTGTAGATGATGCCTACAACTCACCAATAACCTCCCTTTACTCTATGGACTCCATGTATCATATTACTTAAAAAATTATATAATTTTTTTTAATTGTGGGTCCAATGAATGAATCAATTCTATTCATCCACCTAGACAATTGTAGGTATTCTCAATGATTTAAAATGTAACGTATCTCTTCTCCACATCAAACTCTCTACACAAACTTGACGACATATCCTTTAAATCCACTTAACATGCAACGTGGATGGGACGACATTTGCATTTGGATTTTATACTGTAACTAGTATGGTGCATGTGCATTGTATGTATTTCCATTTTCCTATTTATATGCAATGATAATTTTATGCACCTAGTGTATATTTTTATTATATATTATATTTTGCAATCGATAATTTATTAGATATCAAATTAATTTTCTCAATCATAAGTTTATACACTCTATTCAGGGTAAATTCAACAAACAGCCCCAAATAAACTTCCGAACTTTTAAATTATCACAAAACCTCTTTTAAGTTATAGGGTTCTTAAGAAAAACCTTTCAACTTTTAGCATTGTTAAAAAATTTTAAAAGCGTGAAATACGATTTTCATTAGCAAAACTATCACCATGCATAAATTACCTACATGTGAAAAATATCAAAGTCAGCATTAACACCATCAAGAAGAGCTTTCTGAAATTTGTTGAAAGTTTAAGAGGACTATTACTAGGTTTTATGATATTTTTTGAGTTAAGTGATATTATCTAAGGAATGCCCAAATTTAAGATGTTTTTTGAAATGCCAAAAAGCACTTAGGTACATCGTAATTTATTAAATTAACTTAGTTATTTATTAAGTTATTTAATTAATTAATAATAATTAACTTTTAAATATAGAATAATTTTAGCTTCAAACTGATAAGATAAATAAGACAAGAGTTTTTTTTTCTCCTTTAATTCAATGCATGTAATCATGTAAGGAACCACCAAAAATCTCATCGTTAACAAGATCTAGCACGAACATAGTCTGAGACAAAAACAGAATGTGAAAATGGATATAAACTTTAATTTTTATTATCACATATATTCACATCATCTCAAAAAAAAGTAAAAACAATTGAACATCTTAAAAATCTCAGTGCATAGCAATGTTGATCAAGAAAAGAACATGAGCTAGATTTAGCTCTTTTCTTCCTATCTAAATTTTAATTATGAATTGGAATGTTGATTGGAGAAGTGTGATATTGTTATTTATAGTAATGTGCTGGAAGAGGAATAGTTGTACCATTTTTTATTATTATTAGTGTAAATAAATTTATATTTAGTGTACCAAGTGTTAGTGAAGGAATGTTATGAATGATTGTTTAATTTGAAAATAAATGGCAATCAATTGGGAGATTATGAAAAATTGTATGTATGTCTTCATGTATTATACATGGATGTGCAAGCAATGGAGAGATTATGAAAACTTGAGCATTTATGTATCTTCATGTATGTATGAATGGATGTGTTGGAGGACATTTCAGGAAAAAATATTTTAACATGACAACCCACTTTAACTTGTGGATCCTGAATTATCTTGTCACTTCATGCCACTGCCTTGCCACCCACTTACATTCGTCTAAGGTCTGCAGCAGAGGAAGATCCGGATCGGTAATCTCAGGTGCTGTCATTAAGTCAGGTCGGTGAAGAACGAGCCACACCATCAAGTAAGTGTACGACAGCTCTATCTTAGTGGTGAGAATATCACTTGAAGGCTAGCTTCCTTCTTGAGTCAATGTGGTGGCCAAGTGACGAAGCCCGCAGTAGATATTGGCGATCATGGCCGGGAGTAGGAAAGCTTGTATCCAATCACCAATTGGACAGCGGGGTACAAAACTTCCATAGGTAATGTCTCAGAAGGTTTATGGGGGAACTATGTACTTCTTTAACCAAATGGCCAAGTACCCCGCTAAAAGAGTGGTCGACTTGATTTTCCTCTGAGAATGCCATAAGAAGGTCTCGAACTTGGTTCCCCTTGGAAATTTGCTTCGGCTGAGCGGGTGGTGTCAGACTGAGCATTGATCTTTCCTATCAGCCTATTAATCTCAGATGGGGTCAAGGGAGGCGATTCACAAACCTCATTGCCGGAGCGATCCTTAAGATGCTTGAAGAGATAGTCGGCGAATTGCTATAAGCTGATTTGTGGAAACTTCTTGGGCTTCACGTCAATCCCCACCATCACTACAACAAAATACAACATTGCCGATGAAACAAAAACATCAGCAAAAGTTTAAAAAACGTCGGGAAAAATCTTTCCTGACGCAAAATGCAGCGTCGCTAACGCGTCGCCAAAAGTGCGTCAATGAAAGTATTTGGCGACGTAAATACACTGCGTCGCAAAAAGTACACTTTTGACGACGCGTCATGCGTCAGGAAAAGTATATCTTTAGCGACGCATAATATTTTGTGTCAGCAAAACGTGTACTTTTGGCGATGCATGCAGCGTCGGCAAAAGCTATGTGTCGGTAAAAGTATAGCTTTTAGTGACGCAAAATTGTTCGTCGCTAAAAATTATACTTTTGGCGACATAAGTTAGCATCGGCCAAAGTTTAGCTTTTAGCGACGCAGAATAAAGCTTCGCTAAAAACTATACCTTTGGCGATGCAAGATAGTGTCGCTAAAAGATATTATTTTTGGCGACGTAATATAGTGTCAGCAAAAGTATAATTTTTAGTCGGTAAAAGTATATTTTTATTAACACTAATTTGCATCGCCAAAAGTACTATTTTTCTGTCAACTACACTGAACTTGAACATCCACAACAAATTTGCTCCCATTCACATCAACAAAGAAACCAAATATCAAATTACAGAAACCAAACATCAAATTACACTTCAAACAAGTTGCATATTAACAACTAAAATAATATCGGTGCTTATTTTCACAATCATTAAAATGAAACAAATAATAACATTAGTAAATAAATTTAAACACAATTCTATTAAACAAATAACAAGTGTTTGACACATGTTTTATTAACAAATTCAACAATCATGATTAAGTAGATTTGAACAATAAAGACTACAGAAAACTCATGTCTTATCAACGTTGCAAGTCTTTCCTTCGTCACGTCTCTGGCTTCTTCTTCCCACCTTCACCATCCATCTCCAACTTCTGTTGTGTAGCTGTAATGGAAAGAAATGTACTCAGTAACACAAATAAAAAATTAAAATCAAACACAAAAAAGTGTACTCAGTAATGCTCTAATATATACTCAGTAATGCTCTAACATAAACTACAACGAGAAAACTCAACAACTGTATCTACTACTGTTCTTTTAGATTGAGAATAGCAGGTAGCCTGGTGCAAGTGGTGTCGAATCTCACACTTTTCAACTAGGAAGAGGGTTTACGACTATGCTAGAATAATATATAAGTGTGGTTAAATATAAAGTTTCATATTTATCTTCATATACATCAAGTTCTCCAATTAAAGGAACCTTGTGTAAGGTCACCAAAGTTAGTGTTAAGTTAAACCCAATAGCGGTTTGTACATAATGCCTCAAGAACATTACCATATATAGCAGTAAGTTCTCCAGATAAACGCAACAAGGGATGACCAGAGAAGGGAGGATACCTTTATCACAAGGTCATTTATGGAAATCCTTTTCCCACTAGAGGCTTCTTGTAAAGAATTAAGTTGGCTTCTTAACCTTCATTTTACCACAAACAAGAATGCTGTTCATAATATGCAGGAGTTGAGAATCAAGGAGACAAAAAATAACCATGAACTTCAGTAGATACTCACTCCATAAGTTTGTCTACCCGAGTGTCCACAGTTAAATAGTAATGAGGAAGAGTCTGTTTAGAGAGCAATAAGCGTGAAGAAGTGACCTGAAAATGATTACATAACATGGATAAGAAAGCACAACTAAATATAACAGAGTACAAATGACATAGAAATCTTGTAATACTTTTCTTATTTGGGAGTTGGGGATATCTGCATAACTTAATGCTTTAGCTATTGCTGCATCCTTCACCTTAGAACCCTTTGCACTGGATGCTACATTGTGCACAAAAGACAACATCAAAGAGTGAGCAAAAACTATATATTCAGATACAAATCTACTGCACATGATTTTGTCTAGAAAAGTAACAAGGACCGAAAATCAAGAGAATTTTCAGAATTCAGATATATATGAGTGCAATAAGGACCGAAAATCAAGAGAATAATTCACAAACTGTATACGAAGCAAAATTAGCATCTTGACCTGCTATGATGAATTCCAGATTTTCCGACTTGCACTCTGAAGCTGGACAAGGCTCCTTCTTTAAAATATTCACAATTATATTGTTAACTTTTTCCATTGTGCTTTTGACCTCGTCTTCTGATGTCTGATATATGTTACATAGAGAAGCCAGAAGGTTGATACCCTTGTCTGATTTTTTAGCTGAATAAGAACAGCAAAACATGTTAACTAATTCTAGTACATCAGATTCTGTACATAAACAGATACCAAAATAAATGTGCCATGACTACAATCATGAATTGAAGTTATTACCAAGAAGAGGGGGATCTCGGATCTTGAAATTCCTAAGTTGTATGGGAACGTGAAGAATAAGTATAGCCTGTCAGAATTTCTATTATAGTTAGCATGCAAGAAATGTAAACATAAGATAAATATTATAGCCTAAATCTTACAGATACTATATAGTAACTACATGCAACAGTCCAATTAAAACAATCAAGCTGTGTAACAACTAACCAATATTGACACTAATCAATTAGTGCATATTTGAAAGGGGAACTGCAACGTTTGCTGAATACAAGCCAAGACAAAAGAACAAATGCTAACAATTTCTAAAATAGGTCCTCAGGTTGATTGGAGTGTGTTCAATAAACAAGTGTGCCTGAGTATTATTTACTCTGCTTCTAGATCATATCAAACACCAATCACTGCAAGCACATCATAAACAACTCATTACTATCAGAAATATATAAGTGCAATACCTTAGGAACAGGTGGTGGGCTTTTGGAGCATGCATCAGAAAGGTCTTTACACAGGACATTCGCCAATTTATCAACAGAAGGACGGTGTTTATATACAAATTCAACAACATCTGTATCCGAGTATCCGATAATCTGCAGCAAAAAAAATGTGACATCTCATAAACAAGAAAAAAACTTATGATTCTAACCGGCTATATGTATTGCACTGAAAATTTCACATATTGATCTTACAATAATATTGCACATATCCTACTTATTATTGAAAGCAAACAGTGTCGTCTATGACATTCTGTGCGGTTAACTTTTTAACAACTTTTCAGTTTACTGAGCCTTGATGAAAATGATTGCGACCATTCAGCAGGCAACATGCACTTGCAAAGAAAAGTTTTGATAATGAAATAACGTACAGCTAAATTAATCTTTGTACTAAAGTTGGTTTTTTCCCTCTTGATACACTGAAATACAGCCATATAAACGGTATTCCCATCTCACATAAATTCTCCACTCAAATAGAAGGGTATTCCCATCACAAAGTTTTTTTTCGAAACAAGGTAGTACTGCTTACCAATCTCACATAAATTCTCCACTCAAATAGAAGGGTATTCCCATCACAAAGTTTTTTCGCGCTTGTTGCTCATATTACTTTCAGTAACCTAATGTTTTCTTAAGCACAAAGACGACATAGAAAAAAATATGATATCTACCTTGAATGATCCCTCCTTAGTTGGCCACTGCTAAGTGCAATTTTAATAGATTTTTAATCGCTAGACAAACTCAATGCATCGAGTTGTTTCATCACCCAAGACACAATAATATCATAGAAAATTTTATTAAAAGATAAAAACATCAATACATCACCCCATCAATCATCACCAATTGATGCATCTATTTAAAATGTTAGGTAGATTTGTCGTTTTTAAACCATTTTAATCTGTTTAATACATGTATGATACAAATACATTATAAACTCCTGCCTCTGCCTCCTGATCTCTGTGCACGTGCAACAATCACCAACCTGTGCTATAACTACATGTTCCTAAGACCATCTCCAACATAGCGGCATTTTAAGACAAAAATTGAAAATGCCGCTGCGTGGGAGCTCCAACCGAGCGGCAGTTTTTACCGCATTTTAGCGGTGATGAACAGCGCGATGCCATATTTGGCGTCGCACTGTTCATCACCCACATTACTGTTTTTTTTTTGTTTTTTTACTTTTTCAATTTTTTTTACCTCATACTTTTATAGCTTTACACATTTGACCCCAATTGTTTCATTAAATGTATAAAACAACCCCAATAATATTTAAATTTTATAATTTTACCCCAATTGTATAATTTGTACAAAATAAATTATTTTTTAAAAATAAAAATAATGCTATAATTTAAAAGACATTATTATTAATTATAATATTAAAATCTAGACATTATAAGTAAAGTCCCATAAAATATAAAGAGCAATCCTAATACATAATTCAAATATAAATTACATATCTGAAATACATAACATATAAAAACTGACACACATAATATAAACTTCGTTAAAATAAAACATAAAATACAAACTAAACATGGTGACGTTACATAAGATGGACAAGCAACTCTCAATAATCTGGTAGATCGGGGCCAGAGTGTCCAATATCATTGAAATAATTGCCAAAATTAGAAGCAGACCCTTGTTCTTGTTGATTTCTTTTTTGTATTATTTTAATCTGTTGAGCTCGAACGTACTCACGCACGTTTGGATCAGCAATGGAATTCAAATCTTTCATTATAATTTTCCATTCATCTCTATCTTTTTTCATGGCTATCTTTTCTCGTTCGATATCAAACGCTACTTGCCTGTCCAAGCTCGCCTTGTCTAACCTGTCTATAAGTCGGTTGTTGGAGGTCTCGATGGAGTCCACTACACTTGACTCATGATCATCATTTTTCCTTTTTAATTTGGCTTTTTTTACCCCAATAGGTCGTTCAGATGGAGTAAATGATGACAGTCCAGGAGATGTTGATATAGGAGATTACGGAATGGGATTATCTGATTGTGACGAGTCGAAGTTCACACTTTGGGATTGTCTTCGACCAACTTGTCTTGCTGTGGGGACGTCATCTTTGAATTTTTCAAAATTTTTAACCATATTCCAGACATGATCAAATTTGAAACTTTTTTTGTACTTTGGTTCTTGCATAAATAACATCTTTGCTCGAACTAAGTGCAAATTATAGTGAACATCAAGTTATGTATTTCAACAATATATAATAATAAAATTCAAACGATAATTAATAGAATACTTACAATATCTTCATCTGAAGCACCACTTGGATTCAGATTCTCTACTTGTCTCAAGCACGCATTCAATTTCCTTACTTCATTACTTATGATTTCCATTCGAGAACGAATTGATCGGCTCGTACGCATCTCAAAATGCTGATCTCGAAGTTCATTATATTTGTCCTCCACACGAGACCAAAATGCATCTCGAGACTGGTTTCTACCGCTAATAGGGTCTTGAGAAATATCCAAGAATACTTGACAAAGGAGCACATCTTTAGTAACCGTGTATCCAGTTGATCAAACAGACATTTTTTTGTAAAAAGCGGTTGGTTTGGAGATCAGAAATACTTTGAAGAAATACTTCGAATTGGGTGGTTTGAAGTAGAATTCGTGAATGTTATTTATAGCCAATCCAAATTTGTTTTTTTTGTTTGAATTTGAATTTGTCGGTGGTCAACATTTGAAATTGAATCATTTTGTATTAACTGATCAGCTTTACATATTGTCCAATGTTGTCGGTGGGAATCAATTTTTAAAATCAGGTCAGCTTTACACATTATCCAACGTATACACAGCTCAGCTTTCCTTGAATTATGTGAAAGCTTTGTACGAGTGGGAATCAAATTTTAAAATCAGGTCAGCTTTACACATTGTCCAACGTATACACAGCTCAGCTTTCCTTGAATTATGTGAAAGTTTTATACGAGTGAGAATCATTTTTTAAAATCAGCTCAGCTTTACACATTGTCCAACGTATACACAACTCAGCAAATTTGAATTTTGTGACAAATTGATAACAGCTGGAAAGCATTTTCTGAAATCAGCTCAACTTTACACATTGTTCAATGTATACAGCTAAGCAAAGTTTTATAAATAGCATACTAGATTAGGTACATCCACACAATTACTCATTGTTGTGTTAAAATTATTATTCTCCATTTCTGCATACTTCAGTCATTCTTTTCTTACTTCAAAAATAAATTTCGATGCTGGAGGTCCATCATACTTATCATCATCTTCATCTTCGGATGATGATAATTTTCTGTCCAATATCATTGTAGAGATTGATGAAACCGAAGAAGTAATTTGTGAGTACATCAACAACATATCATTGTAGAGATTGATGAAACCGAAGAAGTAATTTGTGAGTACATCAACAATAACATGATCCTCGTTAATAATTTACGTCAACAAAACTACCAACTGATCCATGGTGGATCGATTCCCGGTCATGCAGTGATCAACTACGATCGAGAAAATGCGCATCAGAATTTGGTCATAGATTACTTTGTCGATAATCCATGTTTTGGGGAAGATATGTTTCGGCGTCGATATCGGATGTCAAGAAGTTTGTTCCTTCGTATTGTTGATGCAGTGAAAGATCATGACTATTACTGGATGTCAAGAAGTTTGTTCCTTCGTATTGTTGATGCAGTGAAAGATCATGACTATTACTTCCAACAACAAAGTGATGGACTTGGTAGAAGACTATTACTTCCAACAACAAAGTGATGGACTTGGTAGAATGAGATTATCACCGTTACAGAAAGTAACAACTGTTTTTCGCATGTTGGCATACGGTCTACCAGTTGATGCTACGAACGAATACGTTAAAATAGGTGAGTCAACAGCAATTGAAAGTATGACAAAATTTTGTCGTGCTATGGTAGAAATATTCACAGAGCGGTATCTACGAACACTTAACGCTAACGATATTGCTATGCTACTCTATATTGGTAAAAAACGTGGTTTTCCAGGAATGTTAGGAAGTCTTGATTGTATGCATTGGAAATGGAAAAATTATCCAACAGCATGGTCTGGACAATACACAGGACTTAGTGGGTCACCAACTATTATCCTTGAAGCTGTGACAGATTATGATCTTTGGATATGGCACGCATATTTTAGTATGCCAGACACCAATAATGATATCAATGTGCTGGAGTCATCTAATCTTTTCTCTAACCTAGCTCAAGGTATTGCTCCTCCCGCTCAATATGTTATTCAAGGAAAAGAGTATAATATGGGTTATTATTTAGCTGATGGTATATATCCAAAATGGGCTACTATTGTACAAACAATCCAACAGCCACAAGGAAGGAAGAAAAAATATGAAGCATGTAGAAAAGATGTAGAACGTGCGTTCGGAGTTCTCCAATCACGATTTGTAATTGTGGCAGGATCAGCACGTTTTTGGAAAAAACATGTATTACATGACATAATGACTGCATGCATTATTATGCACAATATGATAATCGAGGATGAACGTGATCTTTATGCACCAATTCAAGAAGTGAGGGAAGCACTAACACCAGAAGTTGATATGGTAGCAAATGAAACTACAAGATTTACTCAATTTATTGCACGTTACGGAAAAATCAAGGATAAAGATGCTCATATTGCACTTCGTAATGTATTGATAGATCATCTATGTGAGGAATACGCTAATTCAGATAGTTAAGTGCATACTAAATTTGTAATTTTTACATTGTTGTTAATGTTTAATTATTTTCTTGTATTTTATTTCCTGTTGTGTTCTTGAATGTAATATTTTGGCAATATCAATAATAAAAATATAATATTTTAGCAATCAAGTTATTTTAATTAATAAAATAATATTTTATTGTTTTATTAGTTTAATTTTTAAATAATAAATCATTTTGTTTGGAAAATATGTGAAAAAATAAAATTTGATATGTGGGGTTAATTGTTGAAATAGTTAAAAATATAGGGAATAAAAAATAATCATATAAAAGTAGATAAAAAAGAAAGATACTGAGAATATTCCTTTTTAGTGCAAAAAATAGTGCAGTGGGTTGGAGATGAATTACTGTTAGATGTGACTTTTGCACCATTTTGGTGCAAAATTTACACCATTTTGGTGCGATGGGTTGGAGATGCCCTAAACATTTCACTAGACTGAATACTAATAGATATCTTAACAAGTGTCAATTACTAAGCGATCAAAACATTTACAACATCGCCCAAAATATAACTAGATAATTACCAATAAAAAAACCAGAAAATAGATTAATTTTGAAAGCAATCTTTTGTGCCATTGATTCATATGTGAAACAGAAAAGTAATTACTAACCTCTTGACATGCGTGCTCGATATGATAGTCTTACACTCTGAGTTGCATAGCCCTTCAGTACCTTGTTCAATAAGCTGCAAAGGAAATTTAATTACTGCACACGAGCATTGTCATGTGAAAAAAAGGAAAATTTCAAAGAATCGCTATAAATTTGCAAAAGAAAATGTACAATTTTGTATTAAAAAAAGTAGTTGATTTTACCTCCAATTTGTCCTCTTTCTCAACAATATCAATATGCAGAATCCAATCCGTCTCTTCCTTCTTCAAATTACAAACATTCTCTGCAATCTCAATAATCTGGTACTCCGAAACCTAATCCCCCATATCAAACCACGAAAACCCAATCAAACCAATATTTCAATAGAACCGAAACCAAACAACAAAAAGTTAACCTTTTAGGTGATATCTGAGCTTGTTTCTTCTCAACTTGATTGTAAATCTGCTCTGCGATCTTGTGGCAGACCTGGCATCGTATAAAAAGGATGTCTTCTCTTCGAGCGGCAGTGACCATCGGTTTCTTAGCGGAGGCGAGAGAGATCTCGGTGATTGAGAAGAGGAGGAGGATTGCTAGTGCCACGAGCTTCACCATGGAGATTCTATGTTTACTTGAAATATTGTGAGTATATTCTTTCTTGTTTATATGCATGTGAATTATAAATTATATATTCATTTCCTTCATGCATATATCTCTTTTTGTAAATTGTTTGTCATCATCAAAAAGGGGGAGATTGTTGGCCTTCTTGTTTTGATGATGTTTAACAAACAATTTACCACTAATGTTGTTTGTCTAGTATTTGTGTTTTCTTATTTATTATAGACAAACAACATGTTGGAGGATGGATGGAATTGCGCATTCACGATCATATCCAAAGGAGGTTGGCGGAATGTCGGTGAAGCTTATGTAATTCAAGTTTAAGATCCAAGTTTAGCTTCATCCGCAACGTGTACCAAGTCAAGCTTATTGAAGATCAAGATCATAGCTTGGGTAATTAATTTAGGTCTTATATTATGTGTGTTAAGTACATTAAACTTAATATCTATACACACACATTTATTGGTTTCTTCGTGTGTGTGTATATATATATATATATATAAGTTTTGGTTTCTATGCATATATATAGTTATATATATACATACATATGTTTTGAGTTTTTATGGTTATATATATGAAATTCTATATTTCATATTTTCTATTATGTTTTTGAAAACATTGCATAGAATATGCAATTTTATCTTCATCCGCAACGTGTACCAAGTTGAGCTCAATGAAGATCAAGATCAAGCTTGGGTAATCTATTTTAGATTTTATATTATGTGTGTTAGATACTCTAAGCTCAATATAATATACACACACATTTTATTGGTTTCTTCGTATATATATATATATATATATATATATATAAGTTTTGGTTTCTATGCATATATATAGTTATATATATACATACATGTGTTTTTGGGTTTTCATGTTTATAAATATGAAATCACATGTTTCATATTTATTATTGTGTTTTAGTATATATTGCATAGAATATGCAATTTTGTGAAAATATTGTTTTCTTAGTTTTTGGACTTAACAATAATCATATACATATTTTATTAAGTCTATATAATCATTGTGTAAAGTTTTAAAACATGGTTTAGCCTAAATGTCAAAATTCACATGTTTACATTTTCATGTTTTGGCCTATTTTGTAAAATAATGATATATTTCATTTGGGAAATCCTTTTTGGAAATTAGTCATTGTAGCATGTTTATTATCATGTCTACAATCATTCCCCAAAGTTTTATATTTTTTGAAATTTATTTGATATTTTTAAACAGGGTTTTAAAATCATCAAATCAGTTTATATATATATCAGTTCTCGGTCGACCGCACCGGTCGACCGCACCTATGTTCATTCGTCAGTGGGCAGCAGAGAGTTTGTCGGTCAAGCGCCGCGGTCGACCGAGAGCTCGAGACTTCCCACGGTCGACCGTACCGGTCGACCGAATAAGTCTTTGCTCGTTTCTCAGTCTGGGATCTGGATCGCGGTCGACCGTGAATTTTTTCGGTCGACCACCGAACTCCCAACGATCATATTGGGTACATAATCTGTTTCCTATTTTTCTGGGATTTTTGTTATTTTGTTTGGGTTTTGGCTGTTGGTTTCTCTTTCTATATAAACCCCTAAACCCCCTTCTATTTTAGTAACCATGAAAGTGTTTTAAACAAGTTTAAGAAAGTTTTTAATAAGGGTTTATGGTTGGTTTGAGTTTGGTTTAAAGCTGTTTTGGTTTTCACAAGTGGAGGAGATCATCTTCTTGTTTGGGCTTCAATCTCTATCTCTCCATCTTGTTATTCAGAGAAGAATCTCTAAAGTCATTTCTAGCTATTTATTATTTTGTTTATATTTCTTGTCGCCATTGTCCATAAATCATTATTTATATGATCCACTATCTAGTTCATATTGTTTACCCATTGTGTTAGTTTTCATATCCTTTCATATATCATATTGTATATCTCTTTGGTAGGATATATCATCTTGTGTTAGTTTTTATATCCTTGCACATACATTGCCTATATCTCTTTGTTAGGATATATCTTATTGTTCATATTGCTTATCCTAGCTCATATAACTTGTTGTATTTCATACTTACTAGGATAACTCATTAATTAATTTTATTGACATTTAATCGGATTAGATTAGCATAAGACCCTAATCACCCCCCTCCCCCCTCTAGGGTCTAACAATTGGTATCAGAGCTTGGTGCTCTTTGATTTAAGGTCTAATCGTCTTGAGTTAAAGATCCAAGTTATCTTTTTGTGCTAATCCATTTTTTTGATTTTTGTATCTTGCTTGCATGTATACATTATGGATATGAATGATGCATCTTGTTTAGGCTATGATTCTAGTGTTGCTCCTAGATTAGATAATTTCCCCTATGCCCAATGGTGTGTTAGATTTAAGCTATTTGTTAGATCTAAACATTTTGATTTATGGGAAATTATAGATGAGGCTTATATTGTGCCCACTTTGGAGAAATCCACAATGAACAGTATCTTGTTAGAATATTTGCTAAATGCTCTTGATTCATCTATGCCTAACAAATTTGTTCATTTTGATAGTGCTTACACCTTATGAAAATTTATTGAAGCACATCAAGGGGACTTGGAGGCGATCCAACAAGCTTTGGAGGATCCGACTTCATGTTCATATGGAGCGTCATGCACACGCGCACTAGGCGATCGCCCTAGTAAGGTTTGCGAGTTCGAATCTATTAATGATTTACCTAATGATGAACTTGCTTGTGCTAGTGAAAAATTATTGCATGCCTTTAACAAATTGCAAAATGATTTCATTAATTTACAAAGCAAGCATGAAAATTTGAAATCCGATCATGAGTCTTTAACTTCTAAGTTTGATACTATTTCTAATGAAAATATGATCCTTAAAGAAAACAATGAAAAATTAAAATTGGATCATGATTCTTTGCTTTCAAACTTTGCCAAGTTAACTCATGAAAAAGATAATGCCATGTTAGAAGTAAAGAACATACAAAATAATACTGCTTCTTTTATAAATAACTATTTATGTTCTACTTCTAAAAGTGCATATGTGCCTAAAAATGAAGACTTGAATCTTATGAAAAAATACATTTCATCTTTAGATTCAACTTTGAAAATATGCATTAATAATCATAAGAGGCTTATGGATATGTGTGCCAAGTCTAAGTCATCATCTACTCATCATGTACACATATATAGAAAAATTTACAAATGCTCTATTTGCGGCCGAAAAGGTCATTTATCTAAATTTTGCTATGATGCACACAAACATAATAATTCTAATGCTCCTTGTGCATCTCATGTAGCTTCTTCATATTTTACACTTACACATTCACATGTTCATTCTCACAAAGTTCATCATAAGCATGCTAATGTGTTCAAGTGTGATCATTGTGATCGTTTTGGTCATTTGGCCGAATATTGTTTTGCTTTAAAAAAGAAATCTCATTTGCCAAATGTTTCTAGTAGACCACATGTTTTTAAATGTGATGTTTGTGGTAAGTTTGGACATCTTGCTAAATTTTATTTTGATATACAAAAAGCTTCTAAGTTGCAATATGTTCCAAATAGACCATTGTTTAAGAATGTTTCTCATTTGCAAAATAATTTTAAAAGAAAATCTTTATTTGCAAATGATTCCCGTGCACGAGCAAATGGTCCACAAAAACAAATGGATCTCTTTCATTGCACATATTGCAATCGGAAGGGTCATTTGAGCGATTATTGCTTTGACCGTGTTAGTGCACCACATATGCCTAAGAGGGTTCATAACCCTAGGGCTTTGAGCTTAAAAGATAGGGGTCATGTCCCTAAATCTCTTGGTACCAAGAATTCTTGGGTACCAAAACAAATTTGATTTTTAAAACCAAGTACTTTAGTCCTCTTCTTTTTTATTTTCTTGGTTTTGAAAATTATGTTTTAAAATCTTTTGGTTATGAAAACAATTTTTCCTTGATCAAATTCTTTTGTTTTCATGATTATTAATTTTGTTTTTGATGAGAGGTTTGTATAACTCCCCGGATTATTGGGTGTTTATTCCCAAATCTTACTTACCGAGTGCTAAAATGTTCATATGGGTTGATATTAGCTCAAGAGCTAGATATAGTTGCCTCTCCTAAGTTTTGAAAATCAATGATGATTTCGTTTTATGTTCTTATATGATTTACTTGTGATTTATGATTTCATTGGTTGATTTGTTTTCATTTGAAAACTTTTTACATGATTCTCATATCTTCCTTCTTGTGATTTCATAAATCTTTTTTTATACATGGTTTTTATGTTTTTTTTTTATATGAGACAATATGTTCATCTTGATATATTTATATATGTTCTCATTATCTCTTGAATGTGAGTGATTTTTAGCATATTTTTTATGCTTGCTCACATGTTTGCCATGATCTTTATTGCATATATTTTATATGGTATTTTGATAGGGGGAGCTATTCCCTATTCTATGTTTGTTTTTATACTCACCTATGCTTATTGATAGGGGGAGCTTTCGCTCTCTTAATTCTTTTGTCCCCTTTTTGATGTTGTCAAAGGGGAAAAATATTATGAGTATATTCTTTCTTGTTTATATTCATATGAATTATAAATTATATATTCATTTCCTTCATGCATATATCTCATTTTGTAAATTGTTTGTCATCATAAAAAAAGGGAAGATTGTTGGCCTTCTTATTTTGATGATGTTTAACAAATAATTTACCACTAATGTTGTTTGTCTAGTATTTGTGTTTTTTTATTTATTATAGACAAACAACATGTTCGAGGATGGATGGAATTGCGCATTCACGATCATATCCAAAGGAGGTTGGCGGAATGTCGGTGAAGCTTATGCAATTCAAGTTCAAGATCCAAGCTTAGCTTCATCCGCAACATGTACCAAGTCAAGCTTATTGAAGATCAAGATCATAACTTGGATAATTAATTTAGGTCTTATATTATGTGTGTTAAGTACGTTAAGCTCAATATCTATACACACACATTTATTGGTTTCTTCGTATATATATATAGTTATATATATATATACATAAGTTTTGTTTTCTATGTATATATATAGTTATATATATACATCTAAATGTCAAAATTCACATGTTTACATTTTCATGTTTTGGCCTATTTTGTAAAATGATGATATATTTCTTTTGGGAAGTCCTTTTTGGAAACCAGTCGTTGTAGCATGTTTATTATCATGTCTATAATCATTCCCCAAAGTTTTATATTTTTTGGAATTTATTTGATATTTTTAAACAGGGTTTTAAAATCATCAAATCAGTTTTTATATATATCAGTTCTCGGCCGACCGCACGGGTCGACCGCACCGGTCGACTGCACCTATGTTCATTCGTCAGTGGGAAGTAGAGAGTTTGTCGATCGACCACCACGGTCGATCGAGAGCTCGAGACTTCCCACGGTCGACCGCACCGGTCGACCGAATAAGTCTTTGCTCGTTTCTCAGTCTGGGATCTGGATCGCGGTCGACCGTCGTTTCTCAGTCTGGGATCTGGATCGCGGTCGACCGCGAATTTTTTCGGTCGACCGCCGAACTCCCAATGGTCATATTGGGTACAGAATCTGTTTCCTATTTTTCTGGGATTTTTGTTGTTTTGTTTGGGGTTTTGGCTGTTGGTTTCTCTTTCTATATAAACCCCTAAACCCCCTTCTATTTTAGTAACCATGAGAGTGTTTTAAACAAGTTTAAGAAAGTTTTTAACAAGGGTTTATGGTTGGTTTGAGTTTGGTTTAAAGCTGTTTTGGTTTTCACAAGTGGAGGAGATCATCTTCTTGTTTGGGCTTTAATCTCTATCTCTCCATCTTGTTATTCAGAGAAGAATCTCTAAACTCATTTCTAGCTATTTATTATTTTGTTTATAATTTCTATATGCTAGATTTTAATTGAGTTTAGTTTGATTTTGATTTCACTCATTATTTACACACACCCACTTGAGCTTATTGTATTTGTATTCATAATATATTTGGGTTGGTGAGAATTATAACATTGAGTGTGAGCTCTCATTGTGTTCTCATTCATATTGGAGAACAATCACTTATTATTTTGAGCATAATTGTGAGATTCACTTTGTAATACACTTGTACACCGAGAGGAGTGTGTGGTGAGAGTCGGGGATCGTTCCAAGAGGAGTGGCGTCGATTGACGAGCCTAGGGAGAGGTTGTAACCGAGCACTTGAGGGAGACACGGCTAGGTCCAACACTTGTGAGGGTGTAGAGTATGATTGCGCTAGAAAACCGAGTGTGAGGTGTAAACGTTATTCGGGTGAACGTAGAAAACCCAGTTGTGATAGTGAATTTCTCCCCGGGAGTGGGGAGCAGAGACGTAGGACGGAAGGTCCGAACTCCGTGATCATATCGTGTGTTTGAGTTTGCTTTGGCGCTCTTTATCATATGTTTATATTTCTTATCGCCATTGTCCATAGCTCATTATTTATATGATCCACTATCTAGTTCATATTGTTTACCCCTTGTGTTAGTTTTTATATCCTTTCATATATCAATATCTCTTTGGTAGGATATATCATCTTGTGTTAGTTTTTATATCCTTGTACATACATTGCCTATATCTGTTTGTTAGGATATATCTTGTTGTTCATATTGCTTATCCTAGCTCATATAACTTGTTGTATTTCATACTTGCTAGGATAACTCATTAATTAATTTTTATTAACATTTAATCGGATTAGATTAGCATAAGACCCTAATCACCCCCCTCCTAGGGTCTAACAAGGGGAGAGCTGAGTGTGTGTGGGGTGGGGGGTAGGGGGTGGGGGGGTTAGCCCGTTTTAGATGGAGAGGGAAATAAAAAAAGAAGGGGAGGAATTGAAAACTAGGCGGGGAAATTGGTGGGTGGTAGGGGGCACATGAATAATAAAGCTTCGGCAGCGACAAAATAGTTTTGCGTCGCTAAAAGCTATACTTTTGCCGATGCAATATAGCGTCGACAAAAGTGTTTACTTTTAGTGACACAAAACTATTTGTCGCTAAGAGCTACACTTTTGCCGACACTAACGTGCGTCGCCAAATGTATACTTTTTTGCGACGAATATTTTTACGTCGCTAAAAGCTATACTTTTGCCGACGAAAATAAAAAAAACGTCGGGAAATCCATACACTTTTACCGACGCTAAGTTAAAACGCCATAAATAATATACACTTTTAGCGACGCTAATTATAAACATGGGGAAAAAATATATGTTTTGCCGACACTAACTAAAATCGTTAGGAAAACATAGTTTTTGCCGACGTATTTAATCATGCGTCAGGAAAAGTGTAATTTGTTGTAGTGCATGGCAGTTTGATAACGATAGGTCAGCTCCCAGAGGATGTTGTGAGCAACAGAGGTTGTCTCCTTCATCCGGTTCGAGTAATAGGAGGTGGGAAAATAATCTTGGTAAGTAATGTCCCCTATCGGCAACCCAGAAACTTTTATCATCTCACGAAGGGGTAGACCTAACTCACCATGCTTAGTAAGGAAGGTGTATGTCCAGATAATAAATTTTGAACAAAGCAAAGAAATGGTCTACACTGATGGGGAGACCATACACGCTGGCTCTGATTGGGGTATACAATTCTTTATCAGCTAACTCTTTACCCCAACGACCGAGCACGTAGCTCGTCATCCTCGTCCACCATCTATCAGCAGATGAGTGGACTCAACCAAAACATCTGTACTTCTTGATTGACAGCTCTCTCCCTAATTGAGCAAGACGATTCTTCATAGTATTCACCTTCACCATCAATTCATTTTGTGGTGCACTGTCTTGACCCAATAATCCAGGGTGGAGTCCACGAATAGAAGTCCGATCACTTGAACCCAGAGTCTTGCTATCCTTACCAATAAATCCATAATGAATATGTTCATGATCTTCTATCAGCCGCCAGGACATCTCCATGGTCACTGCTAAATTCCCGAGTTCTATGAGAGAGTGATGTCGAGGAATTGGAGGCAAGAATCGAAAAACTCCACCATACTAATTAAAGCACTACTCCGAGCCACAGGAGAGAATATCTGGATCCTCGACAATATCACCAAACATATAATGGAGCTTTCTCAGCAGCTTGGTCGATTCTTAATCTTTAGTCAACGGTGCATTAGTAATCAACTGACGCAGAGTGTGATGACTCCCTCGCTACACAAGCTCAGGACGCCCTCTGGGCAATCCGTGTTGAATTGAGGAACCTCCCTGATCAAAGGCGCCCCGTCAAAAGAAGCATACACTATGCCACTTTGACCGAACACTTCTCTGTTAGATAAGGCCATGGACGGAAAATTGACCGCAACGAACAAAACAGAATATATTGGAATGTAGTTAAAGAAATTTCTAAGGCAAAAAGAGAGAATTCACTGATCTTTCAAAGCTCGCGAGATAGAGTTATTGTCTCGTAGCTTGCGAGACAGCCTCAACTGTCCCACAAGCTACAAGACTGTCTCGTAGCTTGCGAGACAGCCTCAACTGTCCCACAAGCTACAAGACGATGTATCCTGTTTTGCAAAATTGCGAGACAGTATGAAACTACCCTTTTTTGCCTTAGAATGTGTTTCGACCAAGAAAGACACATCTATTAAACGTCAATCCACACAAAGGAGGATGCCGGCTCTTCCCGAATGCCTTACAAAAGGAGAGCAAATAGGGAAACCTTACCTCCAAATGATGGAACAAGTCATGAAACCTTACCTCCAAATGATGAAACAACGGAATCCTCCCTCTCAGACGTCCGGGTAACTAATTTGCCCTTAGAAGCCATAGATCTCTTTGGTGACATGGCCAAAATAGGGGTTTGGCCAAAATCTTGGTAATAAAAACTAGGGTTTTGAAGGAAAGTTCAAGGGAAAACTCGAAGGGACTCAAAGAACAAGATCCCAGGTGTAGTTTTGATCAAGGAATAGAGAAAACCAAAGATTGGCAGAGGAAAACAAGGAAGAGAGGATCAATCCTTCAAAGAGATCGTGAAACCCTAGAAGGAAAACTCCCTTTTTATCAAAATTGAAGGGATAAAGGAAAGAAAAGGGTTTGTAAACTCTTTTAAAGGGGATTGGAGGTAGATTCGAACTCAAAGAGGCGGCTAAAAGATAGCCAAAAGAACTACAACATCGGATTTAAAACAAGCCGACCTGACAACTCGTCTTCGAATGAGACAGACGGTCATGTCTTGTTCACACGAGATAGTCAATCCTATCTTGCTCACACGAGACAGTGGAAATTGACTCGCGTGAAGGATCCTACCGGCGTGTGTCTGATGTGTATTTTCACTGTATCCTCAACTTATTTCCAGCACATCCACAACACTCCGATGAGTATACGTGTATAAACTGCTTCTCTGTGCTCCAACACCTTAAGAGCTTAAACTGTATAGTCTCTAGCTACGTACGAGTATAAACTAGGGTTACGCCTCAACAGTTAAGACAACATCCGGCTATACACCAGCAGTTACACCAAAGTCCAACACACATTATGATGGGTTCATTCAAAAAATTACCCCTAGGAGTTCAACAAAATCAAGCTATGAGCTCTCGACAAAGATGATCAGTTCAGCGTCAACTCAACGACATGAGCTAATTCAACCTCTCAAAAGTCAACACATCAACTTTAGTTCCAGATTTTAACAATGGTCAGCGACATCGTAGTACCAGAGTTTTAGAAACTAAAGCCACTTATGGGTCCTTTTATGCAGTCAAACATTGGGCAAAAATAGTGCCTATCTTGTCCAAAGTATTTCAGACTCCTCGATCAAATATTGAGGAGGCTGAAAACTTTAGAGGGGGTATCTGTAGGCGTTAAAAATTATCTATAGGTCCCAAACTCAGCTCAAGACAGAGAGAATACGAAGAACGTCATCATCTAAGTCAGAAAAGATCATCCAATACAAATGGAAGCAAATGAGAACACAAAACAATAGCCGAAAGAGACTTGGGGATGTCTCATAGTTAGTAAGATGGTCTCTGCTATGCGAGACAATGAGAGCTGTCCCGCCAACTACGAGACAGCCTCATATGTTTTCTGACGGTTTTGTTGAGTTGTGTAGGGTCCACTTGGCTCCATGACTGCTTGGAAACGTGCATTAACATGGAGGGGTAGTTATATCCTAGAAATACGCCCACTACCCATAAAAATGTGGCATTTAATGCACTTTAAGGTAGTGGGTGGCGGTTACAAAGACCCTGAAGCTGTCTCCTTTGGCTGAGACAGTGGACACTGTCTCGCCCAAAGGAGACAGTGACCACCAAGCTGTTTGCATTCTTTTTGATAGTTATGACTTTCAATTGCTATAAATACCCCTCTACACACTTATGCTAGGTACGAAGGCGTAATTGAGCAAAATCAAACTGGCATTGGGCGAACTTTGAGAGCAAAGAGAGCTTTTCATCAACTTCAAGCATCTTCAAAGTCTTTTGGTGTTTTCCTTGAGTTCACGCTTTGAATTATTCTTGAGAAAAGTATTTATCTTACCTTGCTAAGACACTTACTTCTGTTCTTGTTTCCCTATTGAAACATCAACTTTCAGCTTTTTTCGTATCCGACTTAGAGACGTTGCTCGGTGGTCCACGGATAAAGATCTCATGTAAGCAGAAGCTACTACGTAGGAGTTTCTTTGTGTGTTTCTAGGTAGCACGATTTTGTTTTCATTGTAAAAAAAGAGATTTATACATGTAAAGTCTATTCTTTTGTTTTTGTTAATGATTTAATGGAAGCTACAATGAAATTTGTTCCTGAGGCAAACACGGCTGAGTCGACTTCTAAATGCCTTTTAACTAATCATAGGAATTTCCGAGTGGAACAGGCTTAATGGTCGACACTTAGTTTTACTAAGGATGGGTGCCTCTATTGTTTTGAGTCAACTTCAATAAAGGTCGACTAATACCATGTTCTGGTTCGATTATGCAAGTTGTCAACTCATAGAGGGAAATAGTCGAGTCGACTGTGGTTTGAACAGTCGTAATTTTAGTGAGTTGCAAAGCGTCTTTCTTGGGCAGGCGAAAGGACACTATTGAAAAGACTTTACAACATCATTGATTGATAGGTAATGCTGTCATTTGGCTTTTTATGTAGAGCGATTGTGGAGTAAACAAGGGTGGCACTTCGCTTTTCGAAAAGAACATTCAGATTTTGAGGTCAATCACGTCCTTTCTTACTAGGGTGTGTCGGCCATCCAGATCTTGCCATGTGTCTCCCTCGAAATCTATATATACTCCTCTTTGATGCAAAGAGGGTTTTCTTCATGAGCTTTTGCCCTAATTCTCTTGCTTTCTATCTCTTTTCTCTTCAACATTCGTTACCCCAATTACCAACGATCTTCCATGGCTTCTCAAACTTCCACCACCGTCCGCAACAAAACGAGGATCAATCTCCTCTGGCCTTATCACTCCCAAATCCGCGCTCAAGAGCTTGAGGTGTACTACGAGCGTTATGACCTCCCCAGGGCTTTCACTTTGTCGGTGTTGAACAAGGACGAGTCAGTGTATCACCATGGCAAGGATATATCACCACTCTACTTGGCCCATGTGGAGGATGGGCTCCGACTACCGTTCCATCCTTTCCTCTGGGATGTGGGTGTCATCTTAGGGGTATCCCCTTCGTAGTTCACCCCAAACGCCACTCTGGTGGGGATTCTAGTAATTTGCCACTAGGTACGTGTGGAGGTGAGCATGCGCCTGATGGGCAACCTCGTGGGTGTCAAAACGATGAGGAAAGATGCCCACTATTTTGTCCACAATATAGGTGGTGGCAAACTAGTGTTGGATGCTCCGAAATCCAACAAGGACATGCTAAGGCCTTGTATTCTTTTGGCCGAGGAGGGGCGATAGCTCGAGAAGATCCGCTCCTATGTAGGATTACGAGAGATGAGCAATCTCTTTGAGTCGTCCTCGCTTTGGGTGGTCGGCATATCTAGGGTTCTTCCCATTGAGACTAACAAGGCACAGATGACTCTCTTAGCTCTCCCTTTGAAGAAGAACCTGTTGAAGAATCTGGAGGGGGAGGACTCACCTTCGGCGGACCCAGCTTTGATCATAAAGCTTTGAAAGCGGTCGAGGGGTGAACTGGTCCCTGAAGAGTGGAACAACTTACGTCTGAGGACGGCAGAGATTGCCGCAAAGTTGGCCAGACCTAGTGCCTCCTCCCAAGCAGAGAAGTTGGACAAGAAGAGGAGGAGGTTGAGTAGGGGCTAAGGGCCTAATGCATCGACCGAGTGGCTTCAAGTCGACTCGGCGATGAATGTGGAGGCTTCTGCGATGAGTCCTAAGGAGGGCCCACAGCCTAACGCCCTTCCTCTCCAGTTGACAAAAGGCATCATCCTTGATGCGACCTCTTACAAAAAACAATCGAGCGGCGATCAAGGTGCTGAGCAGACTTTTGCCAAAGCCCGAGCTAGGGAGTCGTTAATGTCGACTCCATTATTCGAGGCTGCCCATAGGCTAGGTAAAGAGCCTGTAGAAGCATCGGGTGATGCGAGAGTGGAGGTGACTCTACTCTAGTCAGTAGGGGAGCTGCCAAAGACTGATGCTACCTCATTGCGGAGGGGGCTTCCATAGGTCGTTTCACCATTGTATCTCTAAGGTCGACATTCGAGTGTGGGTCGAGCTCAGAGACATGTTGATGGGTGAGCTGGGGGATCCTCTACACATCGAGAGGAGCTTTCAGAGGGTGACAAGTTCGTTCCCATCAGGCCTCTCAACAAGGAGAGCTCTGTCCTCACATTGGGATAGATCAGGTCTAGGTTCTAGAGTAGTTTTGGCTCCTGAGATGTTGTAGGAGATGGCCAGCACGGGTGTGCATCTGACCATTAAGCCCTTAAGGGCTATCTTCTACGGGGTGCCATGATCAAGCACGAGCTCTTCACTTGGTTCTCCTTCACGCAGAGGCTCCTTGACAAATTTGAGAAGGCTACAATAGTG